CCCCAAAACCCCAAAACCCCAAAACCCCAAAACCCCTTTTATAATCAAAATTATTGAAAAAATGACTGGGTGCTGGCGCTGAGGTTATGCAACCTCTTCTTTTTGAACTTCTTAACACTTCATTGCCTTAGATTGCTCGGGGTGCAAGACTTGTAGACGGTCAACCTTTGAGAAGTGCAAGAAGGCACTGATGTACGGATAGATCTCTCCATACTTGAGTTTGGTCTGCAATTATGTTTAGTGAAGAACTTCTTCTTGCTCTTCTCCCTTATCTTTACATTCGAGGTGGTGACTTTCCTGACCTTATTAGTAGATGGAACATTGGGATATTTATACAGCTCGAATTGGTTGAAATTAGCTTGTCTGAAGGCAGTCTGCATCATCTTTGGGTGCTTTATGACGTTATTTGCACAAAACAATCTCCTTTTTCATTGTTTCAGCATATTTATTAAACCTTTGTGCTAGCTCTTCTTGGATTTTAAGCTCTGTTTTCAGATTCTTCTGGTATTTTAGCTGTGAAGATTTCTCAATTTGGTTCTGATCGAGTAAATTCTTCTTCTCTTGCTCGAAATTGACGAGGAGGCGGTCGATCTCGATCTTGTGAGAAGCTTTCAAGTCAGAGATTTCTTGTTGAAGTTTATTTAACTAACTGGACTTGGTTCCCATAATCTGTGATTGCACCTTCGCATTGCTTATTTTAGATGATTGTAATTTCTTTCAAGGGCGAAATAGTCCTGTTTTGTGATCTAAAAGATTAGAAGTCCGAAATTACCGATTCGGTTAGTTCTTTTTCCATTTTGAGTAACGTTTCCTCTGCCTGATGGGACTTGGCTTTATTTGTGATGCTCCATGGTGACTTGGTTTGATAGTTTCTCTAGAAAACTGAGTGATTTCTCTTCACTAGTAGCTCGTTGAGAGATAATATGAGCTTCTTGAGCACTAAGGAGTTCGTAGAGTTTATTTAATGAGGTTATTCTTATCGATAATTTCCATCTGGTTCTCATAAAACTGTTGTTTGAGATTGTAAATCTGGCTATCATACTCAATCTTGAATGCTGCTTTCTGTATCTCTACTCTTTTGCAGACCTCAGCTTCAATGTTTTTAAGTAGAGTTATATTTTCTGAAAATTAAATCTTCGTTTTAATTTTTCTAGAAATAGTTAGAATTGAAAGTTTCATAATGTTTTGTTCGTTAGTAAATTTTAGAAGGAGAAATCACTAATGGCAAAGGAAGGAATGAAATCTTAGAATTGAGTATCTGGCTTAGGAAGTCCAAATTCGAGTATTAAATAAGAAACTAATTCTGATACCATGGTCTCAATTAAGATAAGAAGAATAACTAAGCTTTTGCCTTTAAAATATTTGAACTCATCAGATATTTCTTCACTAAGATTGTTGCTAGACTTCATCTATTGAAATTTCTTAATTATTATCTGTACTTAGAGGATAAATTGACTAAACACCAAACCTTCCACAACTAAATTGCTCTTAAAACCCCCCTGCTATACCAATCTCAGTTTAATTTCACTTCCTTAATTCCCCAATTCCATCCATAAAACTTCTAAAACCCCATCTCCCCACAACAAACTCTTCAAAAATGTCCAAATCAAACCACCAAATCTCTCCCCATAAATCCCTCTAAACCCCACTTCTACTCTCCCTAACCTCTCACCCCCAATCCTCCACCCGTATCCCCCTTAATCTCCCACCTTCTTCTCTTACTCTCAACCAGGCTGGCCTGCTCTCTAACCTGTCTCTTCAGGTCTACAGTTCCTATAAGTCACTATCTCTACCTTTCTGTTGTAGTGTAGGTGCCATGTCTGCTGTAGGTTCTTGTGGGGATGGGCTGGTCTATAGGGTGAAAGGCTAGGTTTGGGGGTGGGAGGGAGCTTACTGGTGGGTTTTGGGTGGGGGAAGGGACTAGGGGGGTCCAGAGGGAGGGGATGGAGGGGGAAGAGGGGGATGGAGGGTTAGAGGGGTGGAATTTTGGGATTTGGGGGGATTTTTGAGCGTTTTGTTGGAGGGAGTGGTAGTAGGCTTGGAGGCTCTGGTCGGAGAGGATTGAGTCGGTTTTGGGGATGCTTGGAGAGGAGGGTTGAGAGGACATTTGGAATTTTGGGAATATTATTTTCAATTTTGGGTTGAGTTTTAGGGGTTTTGGGGTTTTGGGGTTTTGGGG